CCGTAGAATCCTCAGGAGGTTTCTCTCTCACTCGTTTTGTGCTCTTGCTGATCTTTTGTTCAAGAATTCATCGACACTTAGCTTTCTTATTCGCCAATTGCTCTGTTTTGTAAGTTCATTGTTAGTTTTATAGTGATGGTCTTACGTTTTGAGGTTGTTAAAGAAGCCATTTTTTCATTTGGGTTTTCAGTTTCTTCTCACTTAGGCTAATTTGTTAATGTGGAAGTTTCATACTTGATTAACCTATTCGTTAAGTAGAGCAATGTATTTAAGTTAGAGCTGGTTAGTTGTTATTTTGAGCTTGAAGGTGTTCTCTTTATGTTGATACCAATTTTTGTGGTGCTTATGATTGGATTTGCAGGAAAATAGCTATCACAAAGGGAAATGCTGGATATTTCACTGCTACAGCTTCTGGTGGTTCCCATGGGTTTCAGCATTCGGGTCATCAACGGTCTTCTACTGTTGAGTTTAGTGAAGAGTGGAAACTTAGTTTAGGATCTAACACGGCGAGAATGGTTCCTCCAACTGCGAAACAAGCTGGAGCTGTAAGTGCTTGGAGAAAGGAGGCAATTAATCAGTTTAGAGAACGAAATGAAGAACATGCTAAAAGCCAGGATGATGATGCTTCTGGTGATGGAAGTTATTATTTCAAAGGCGTTGTCTCCAAACTAGATAATGTTCAGTCTTATGGAAACTGCGAGAACTTAGATTACGAGCTGAAGCCAAGAGGTGATATTATGACACTTGATAGAGAATTGAACGGCTTTATGCAACAGAAGGGTCTAAGAGGACCTTTCATAGCATTACCAAGTAAGAATATTGAGGTCAGGGATATAACAGACGACAAGGATGCGCATGGAAAACAAAGACCTCTTGTTACTTCTCGTGACGGTGCAAGCTATGAGAATACAGTAACTATTTCCAAAGTGGAAAAATGCACTGACCTGTCAGAAGTCCGTGCAAACCTCAGAAAAATATATGATAGGGTTCATGTTGTCGACAATGTGTCTACTGCAAAGGAAATTGTGGCTAAGCTCATTACTGAATATAGGAATCTTGTCCATGCTTGCGATACAGAGGTATGTGATTATGTGTTAGCTGTTACATTGTTATTCACAAGGCCTTAAAATGCTAATGCACTTGACTTATAGACGCTTCTCATAATGCTTCGTTTGCTCTCTTTTTATCAATTTTTTAGGTGTCCAGAATTGATGTGAAATCTGAAACACCTGTGGACCACGGTGAGTTGATATGTTTCAGCATATATTGTGGATCAGAAGCAGTTTTTGGAGATGGAAAATCATGTATTTGGGTAGATGTTCTTGGCGAAAATGGCAGGGATATCTTGGCTGAGTTTAAGCCATTTTTCGAAGACTCTTCCATAAAAAAAGTGAGCTTAAACTAAAAACACGTTGCTACGTTTCTATATATGTTCAGTGATATCTGGTCAACTTCGTTTTATAAAACTAATTTCACTTTCTCTCTTGTTCTGTGCTTTCCTAAAAATGATGATTGGCTATTTCTTCACCGTGCCTGTCCTTTGTTCAGTTGGAGGCACTCATGACTTCTAAATCATGTTTTGTTTTAGTTTTGTAAATCATTGGATGGTGACCTTTTTATTTTACTTATAGGTATGGCATAACTACAGCTTTGATAGCCACATTATTAGAAATTATGGAATCAAGCTTTCTGGTTTTCATGGTGATACAATGCACATGGCACGATTGTGGGATTCATCTAGACGGACATTGGGTGGTTATTCGCTCGAAGCACTTACAAGTGACCCAAGAGTTCTTGGGGGAACCGAGACAAAAGAGGAAGCAGAATTATTTGGTAAAATATCAATGAAGACGATTTTTGGCAAGAGAAAACTGAAAAAAGATGGATCAGAGGGGAAAACGGTGATCATTCCCCCTGTTGAAGAGCTACAAAAAGATGATCGAGAAGCTTGGATTTCGTACTCTGCGTTAGATTCGATAAGCACGCTAAAGCTTTACGAGAGCATGAAGAAACAACTGCAAGTGAAGAAATGGTTTCTTGATGGAAAGTTAGTTTCAAATAAGAACATGTTTGACTTCTACCAAGAATATTGGCAACCTTTTGGTGAACTTCTTGCTAAAATGGAAGCGGAGGGGATGCTTGTAGATAGGGAATATCTGGCGCAGATTGAGATTGTAGCCAAAGCAGAACAAGAAACTGCTGTTACTAGGTTCCGAAGCTGGGCCTCAAAGCATTGTCCTGGTGCAAAGGATATGAATGTTGGCAGTGACACGCAATTGCGACAGCTCTTTTTTGGTGGCATTTTGAACAGGTATGCTTCTTTTAAGTCGTCATCCGGACTGCATTATTTTCCATGTGTAGTGTCAAACTGAATATAACTTTAGATGAAACCGTGATTCCTTGGTATTTGACATGTACCATATGACTTTATTACGAAGAGACCGAGTGTATGATACTCTTGTCTCAAAATTTGGTGAAGATTGTATTCCTTTTCCATGATAAAACCAAGAAACACACATGCAGCTCCCACTCACAGATTGTGTTAATGAAACACCAAACAGGACTTACATAATTTTGTTTCTTAGTGCTTATTTCTGATACTAAGTTTTGTTAATCTCTGTTACAGTTGTAATGATGAGGCTCTTCCGTATGAAAAACTTTTCAAAGTGCCCAATGTGGATAAGGTGATTGAAGAAGGGAAAAAAAAGGCCACAAAGTTCCGAAATATCAAACTGCATAGGATTAGCGACAATCCTTTGCCTACTGAAAAGTTCACTGCTTCAGGCTGGCCCTCAGTTAGTGGAGATACTTTGAAAGCCTTAGCTGGGAAAGTCTCCGCAGATTACGACTTTACAGAGGTCGTTACAGATGATTCTCTAGAAGAAAGTATTGAAGATGATGATTTTATTCTGCTACCAGATGAAATTTTAGAAACCCAAAACGCAAATACATCTGTTGAATCGGACACATCTGATTTTGGAACAGCATTTGATGCGTTTGGAGGGGGTGAAAGTGGAAAGGAGGCATGCCATGCAATTGCTTCATTATGTGAAGTTTGCTCCATTGATTCCTTAATATCAAATTTTATCCTTCCTTTGCAGGTATAATTTTTCTTTCAAAACAATGTTCCCTGAATTTTGAGCTACTTGACTCTTTCCATTAGCTTATCCTTATATAATTGGTTTGCCTATCTGCAGGGAAGTAATGTGTCAGGCAGAGATGGTCGTGTCCACTGCTCCCTGAATATTAACACTGAAACTGGGCGCCTATCAGCGAGAAGGCCAAATTTGCAGGTACATGGTGAACTTAATTTAAGAAGTATTTTGAATGGAGAAGCAATTAAGCAACTAAGCTTCTCTATTTTCTCTGCAACGTTTTATTATATATTTAAATCTTGTGGTATGAAAAGCTACTAGCCTACTACATCTTTGTATTTGAAATGTGCAAGGTTTTTATCTACTTGGGAGTTATAATACTTATAGCCTTGTAATTGTGTTTTAGAATTTGTTAGTAAAATTTTCCCCTTTTTCTGTTTAGAACCAACCTGCATTGGAGAAAGATCGGTACAAGATCCGTCAGGCCTTCATAGCGTCACCTGGAAACTCACTTATTGTTGCTGATTATGGGCAGGTGAAACTATAAGCCCTGATAGTTATAGATACTTCTGTGATGACTAGTAAGCTAAATTTACCTGTTGACTGAGGTGATTTTTCTATCTTCAGCTGGAACTTAGGATTCTGGCACATCTTGCTCGCTGTGAAAGCATGATGGAAGCTTTCATAGCTGGCGGTGACTTCCACTCAAGAACAGCCATGAATATGTATCCACATATTCGTGAAGCTGTCGAAAATGGTGAAGTGCTTCTGGAATGGTATCCACAACCTGGACAAGAGAAGCCACCAGTGCCATTGTTAAAGGTGACTTCTGCTTAATGTGAAACAAATAGATTTCGGAAAGCCTTAAAAAGCTTTAAATTTAAGTCTAATATCTATGGTGCTAAACCAGACTCACCTCTTTCAAAGCATTTTGAAACCACCTTTAGCACACTAAGATCACAACAGTTGACTTACAAACTAAGCTAGTAAATCTTTGTGCTTGAGTCCTCCTAACAGATAGCAAAATGTTGTCTTACTTAGGATGCATTTGCTTCTGAGAGAAGAAAAGCTAAGATGCTCAACTTTTCGATTGCATATGGGAAGACTGCTATTGGGCTTTCTAGAGACTGGAAGGTACTGTTAACTGAGGTCTTGACATTGATATGAACATGCTTGATTTGTGATAATAAGCTGACAATAGCCCTTTTTTTACCTTTCAGGTTTCGAGAGAAGAAGCTCAAGAAACAGTGAATCTCTGGTATAATGACAGACAAGAAGTCCGGAAATGGCAAGAAATACGCAAGAAAGAAGCTATACAAAATGGGTATGTACTCACTCTGTTGGGAAGAGCTCGTAAGTTCCCAGTATACCGTTCACGTGCCCAAAAGAACCATATCGAACGAGCAGCAATCAACACTCCTGTTCAGGTTCGTTTGCCCCATCATCAGACTTTTAACCGTCTTGTAACCTATTGACTTTAACCCCAATTACGACTATTAAAACAGGGAAGTGCAGCTGATGTCGCCATGTGCGCTATGTTGGAAATATCAACAAATCAACGCTTAAAGGAGCTTGGTTGGAAGTTGCTTCTACAAGTAACACCACACACAGATTCTTTACATAACCACTTGCGTAGATGATTGTTTATCTAAATGATTACCTTTTGGCTACCCTTGTGGAAACAGGTTCATGATGAAGTAATCTTGGAAGGACCAAGCGAGTCAGCGGAGATCGCTAAAGACATAGTTGTGAACTGTATGAGTAAACCCTTCAACGGCAAGAACATTCTCTCAGTCGATTTATCTGTTGATGCCAAGTGTGCTCAGAACTGGTATGCTGCCAAATAAGAGGAAAAGATGAAAGTTCTTCTAATTTTCTCGGCTACTAAACACTAACTACTAGTGCTTGAGGTTTTTTTTGTTTGGCTCGTCAGCTCTGAAAAATATGTCCATATGTGCAAAAGGTCACTTTGTTTATCCTTATGAAAGCTAAATGTATCAAGTTTCTATTCGTTGTTAAGACGTATGACTTGTGTAAATAAATGGTAGGCAGTTGTGTAAACAAATGGTAGGCTTGTAACACTTGACAAATGCTTGAAGAGTTTGCTGATTTTTTAACTCAGAAATTTGTATGGCAGTCAAACTTCATTGTAATATCTCATAGAAACGGAGACTCTGAAGCAAAAAGAGGATTCTCAAGATATCTAACAATCCAACGGTGGAAAATAAACCAATGAGAAAACGAAGTGATCTTATCAAAAGAAAAATGAAAACGAGTGGATAATAATAATAACTAAAATCTCAGAAGAAAGAAAGCATGGCTTCCATTTCATCATGCACAGCTCCTTCTGCGAGCTTATTCTTCTCTACCACCAAACCCATCAACG